ATACATTCAGAAGATACTGGCATACAAGTCGAGGACAGTGATAGTGATTTGGGTCCAAGAAGAATATCAAAAGCTGTTCCATTACAATATTCGAGTGATTCCGATGATTCTAGTAATAGTGAAATGTCCACAGAATGACGAATATGCAATCAAAATATAGTATTTTAAGAAAATGTATAAGTTTCAGATATTTTCTTTAGCTAATCGTTGTTCGGATACAAGCTAATAAGGCCGGCGCTCAATTTGTTAAGAAATTTGATTCGAGCATAAGAATATTTACGGTAGGGGTCTCCAATCTTTTTAATTATTTTTCCTCAGTTCTCAGAGAACTTTGTGGGAACAGGATTCGATAATAGTAGTATACTCTTGTCTTACTTGCTAATTTATTATAGGATAAATAGGTATCCCATTTCCTCCTCTTCCATTTAAACATACTGCTCGCTTAATCTCATATATCCCATACTGTGCCCTCGCTAATGATGTAATCAATAAAAATTCATATCGCAAATATTTCGCATTTTTTCTTTGGATAGTTTTACTTCGTTACAAATAAATTTTTATATTTCTTTTTCATTCACTGTCTCTTTCTCTAAATGAACGTCTGAAAAGGATCCCAAATGTATGGCATTGTCGAATTTTGTAATTTTTACGTTATACAAAGTGAATATTTAAAAATGGTATCGTCAACACTTGGACGCATATAAATTTAGAACAGTATTAACTGACTTAATACTTCTTAATGAAGTCTCAGAAAAATAGAATTTATTAAAAGCACAAAACCTTTTATTTATTATCCATTTATTTATTATCCACGAAGCACGATTTTTAATACATTTAACGCCAAGGTGGTCATAGTGACCGAAGCTCTTGAACTACTTAAACTACATAGAACAACATTGAATGAAAATTGACAATTAGTACATTTTGAATATAACCAACAATTAGAAGACACTTTGAAATAAAAAGTGCCCCATTGAACAATTAAAAATTTTGATTAGAACATCAAAAAAGTATTAGAACAAATCTTGCATCTAGCGGTGCACCCCCGTGGCGCCCCGAGGGAAACATGTGATTTCGGCGTGGCAGTCAAAGGGTTAATTCCAAAAATTGATGTTAATTCATGTAATTAATTACTATTGTAGTATCGCAGATTTTGCACCCCATGTACAGGTAGCCTTAGCTTAGAAAGTCACCGAGGATTCGAAGGCCAGGTCGATCGGAAAAACCCCAGTGATGCGTCAGGCCCTTAGCACGACCATATTAGCTCATGTTGGGGGAGGCTTTTGGAAAACGTTTACATGCTGGGGAAGATATAAAAGAATGCAAAAAGTGGTTAATAGACAGTTCGTTTGTACGCAGTAGACAGTTTTAGTTGTGAGCAGTTAGTTGCTGCAGGCTGAGTTGTCATTGCGTTGTTAAGTTGAGCGTAGTCTTAAGTTAGGAATCGATATAGATTCGTGTAAAGAGACAATTCGTGTGTTTAATCATCACTCACACATTGTTAATTTATTATTAATAAATAATTCTATATACCACCACCAATCCCATCTCTACACTATATTAAATTTAAAAATAACCAAGCTATGCATGGAATATCGAAACAGAATAATTCAACGCCCTGATTTGTACACGATTTCTCATCCATTTGCTTTAAAAATGTCGTCGATTTTATGACAGAATGTACTCGAATTGCTATTTTTCTGTAATGGAAAAATCGCCAAGTGACAAGCAATTTCAAGTTCTGCTTAAGAAGCTATATACAGAGAATAGAGAACGAAGGGAACAGTATCATCGAAGGTTCCAAAATTGTACCCATTAAAACTGCGCCCAGTGATTACTCGAATCGATCATGGTTAACAGGGCCGTACAATCTCTCCCTCAGTTGGGATATGAGTCATAGACCAAGACGAAGATAGATGAGGATGAAGACGACCGTTGTGTCTGACACAGGAAGACAGGAATCTTCGTCGTGGCCGTCACTTGTTCCCTGTCGCACAATGCTGAAATAGTATATCCCTGCTGCACTATTCCATTGTTACACACCCTCTGAGCACTATCCCATTGTTACCAGCCAGATAAAATGGCAGCGCGTACGTACACAGATGAAAATAGGCTTGACAGCGGGTAAATGCGCCCTCTGTGCTCCTCATCGTTCCCGAATCGTCATTATTCGTCTTTATTAACGATATCCACACCGAGTGCGGCCGCGTGGATGTATTTTCGAGTGGAATCGCGGCCGAATTTTGCAAATTGTTGATGAAGACAAACGATGGCCGGCAGTGAACATTTTGCATGATTATAGGGAGAAACGGTTCGCAGATTCGTTGGTCCACAGCGAGTAATTTTGTCGCGATGTTAGAGCACGCGATGCGATTTGCATCGTGATAGGATTTGCGATTTTTCGGATTTTTCACGCAAGATCTCTCCGATTTTGAATAACTATCTCTTGACATTTTTTTTAATTTTTTTTTTTTTTTCGCTGTTTTACGAGGAGTATATTTTTATTCCACGTATGTCCTGGGAATATTGAACTGGGAGCATTTCGAAATTAAAAGTTTTATTTTGAAAAAAAAGGAAAACGAAAATTAAAAACGCGGATGAATTTTTATATAAAGTAGTCTTCGTCATGGTTTTCATTTTCGGTTTTGAGAAATCTAAAATTCCTATTTTTTAAATTTTAGTCACCATGAATAATTACTTATTAAGTCGATAATAAGGAAATTTGAGGAATTTTGTCATCAAGGGGTTAGTGAACTGTCACGTGCCTAAAAATATTGTTAATGAGAAATCTAAAATCCCTATTTTTTAAAATTTGGATCATAATGAGTAATTGCTTATTAATTCGATAATAAGGAAATTCGAAGAATTTTGTCATCAAGGGACCAGTGAGCTCTCACGTGCCTAAAAATATTCCTCTGAAATTTAGATTTAATATTCTGACAAATAACATAAATTGAGAGCTTGTTTACTCGTATACACGTGGTCTCCGAGAAAACTAGAACTCCTGACGCGTGGTTTACTCGATTCGCCATTTTGATTTATGGTTCGTTTTCTGAGAAACATTCTCAGTCGCTGAAAATACATATGTCCTTCTGCCAAAATTAATATAATATGATTTTTATTTAGATATTAATAATATTAGATATTAATAATTATATATATTTCTTTATTTTATTTATTTTCATCATACCATTTAAGTGTTATGTATTTATATTATATTGATCCCTCACGTAAATTAGTTTCGAAATATTCTTAGCCATATGTCGGACAGTTTAAAAATTATTACGAAAAATTAATTAACTATCAGCAGCGTTTTTAATATTTCGATTGGTTCGTTAATTAACGTTTCATCATATCGGACAGTAAGAAGTTTTACCTATTTACATGTTCCAACCTTTCACATTCAGAGATCAATTAAATACCCAAGCACTTAATTTCAAATGACTCGACATTAGAACGTTGTTCATTAATTCGCATTTGCGTCATTATAACCGGTTTAAGAATAAACAAAAAGCCAACTATTATTACTACCTTTGTCTCGACAGAGTCAAACAGAGATAACATCAGTACAGTTACTTCACCGGTATTTAATTCTTTTTTTATACCAGAGAATGTATTATACATTAACATTATATTAGGTGTAACTGTTCGTAGTAAAACCTCGTAACGATATCGTACAAGAATTTTTTTTAATTCTTACATTACATATAAAAATAATCGGAGCACGAGCTCAAACAACCTCAAACAACCTGAGAAATCGAAGCACGAGTAACGAGTCGAAAAACAAATCTGCCTAAATGTATATTACCTATTGCGATATAGCGAGCTCGTAGATTAAATTGTCATATGGATCATCTAAATCATATATCATAAGCTCCTAAGGATCGGTATTATTGATCGATGTCAAAGCTCCACAATTAGGACTTTAACTTTGGCCTCGACACCCGAAAAATGATCGATAGTGTAATCATGTTACTGTCAATTATCTGTTCTTGTCGCTGGTCAACTTTACTCGTTAAAACTTATAAATATAATTGGAGCAACCCTTATCCTCGTCGTCGCAGTATAAGGGGTTGATCGCTTCACCACTGAATATGTTCCCTCCAAAATTTCACCAATTTTATTCATGTTAAAACATCATGCAATTGTAGTATATCTTCACTTGCATGGGGAATATAACTCATCTTCGCAAAATTTGCTATGAAAAGCTAATGATCTAGCCTCCGCATCGCGTGTCTTTGCTATTGAATCTGTTTGTTCGAAAACCCGACCAATTTCACTTACATTGAAACGTATGAAGTTTAAACCTTACTTCTGTGACATGTATAGCTTGTCTTTGCGAAGTTTGCTATGGAAAATTCACGATGAACGAGTCTTGTCATCACAGTATAAAGAATTAACCGCTCGTCTCCGTCATTGTACACGTGTATTCGAAAAGCTGATCAATGTCACTTATGTTAAAACGTACGTAGTATATCTTCACTTCTATAGCAGCTGTAGCTCATCTTTGCGAAGTTCGCGATGAAAAATTCACGACGATCTAACCCCGTTATCACAGCATAAGGAATTAATCGCAAGTCCCTGTCATTGAACACATTGGCTCCAAAACCTGATCAATTTCATTTATGTCAAACCGTGCAACTTTTTCCCGTGACAGATATAGTTCATCTTTGCGAAGTTTGCGATGAAAAATTCACGATGACCTAGCCTGAGCCACTACAAGGGGTTAATCACTCGTCCCTGCCACTGAACATGTTCACTCTAAGACCCGATTCCGATCAATTGCACGACCTCGCTATATCATGGCCACCGTTATACTTACCAATCTTCCGCTATTCGTGGCAATAACAATCCGCTGCCAATACCTACGGTCTATCGAACGACTATCGACAGAACGCGACGCGACACCAGCCATGCAGCCAGAGACTCTAACAATGAGCGTTCGGCTGGGCTAATCTGCTCGTCAGAGGAGAAATGCATCTGACTGGGCCTGTTGTTAGGTTCAAGCACAGCCATGGCAGTAGGCGGTGCGACCCTGGTGCATTGCGGAGGACCTGGAGGGGAGGACCGACCGGCCCACCTTGCCATTCCCTCGGGAGCCCTGGCACCCTCGTTGAACGCCGCTCTTGGCTCCAGCCTGAATTCCAGCCTGAATTCCAGCCTAAATTCCACGCTGGGTAGCATCGGAGCCGCGGCCAGCGCGGCAACCGCCGCCACTGCCGCGGCCACAGCCGCATGGCCGCCAACCTTATGGCAGTACCCCGCGGCGGCCGCGGCTGCTGCAGCTGCAGCTGCAGGTGAGACCGAACCCTTGCTTCTTTTTCGCCTTTCCGTCACTTCTTCCGAGCGTTAAGTACGCTCTTCGGCATCACTTTCGAACTGCTACCGTCACGGCCCGCTTGTCATCTTCTTTTTTGCATTCCTTCGGCTTTTGGGTTAACTAGCGGCTTTCTGGTTGCTCGTTTTCGCGGACGCTCTTTAGGGATATCGGGGGTTAAGACTGATGCCATCATGGTCGAATGATCCGGAAATGAAAAAGGATCGGAATCTTGAAGAAACGGAATTATCGGAGATATTGAAGAAACGGTAAGGTTGATCGCGGAGTTACTGATGACAGGTTTAAAAACGGTGGTTTGAGGCGTTGTGATTCGACAGGTGATGCTGACGAGGATGTCAAGTTGACGAGATAAAATTATTTTGCTACGTGGAATGTATTTTTGTGGAAGAGTCAGGGTAAGGAGATCGGACCAGGCTTAGGTATTACGGGTGGGGGTCGTGGATTATAGATAGGGCCCAATATAAACAACGTAGGTATCTGGGTCCGTCTCGTGCTTAATTTTCGACGATGTCTGTCTGTCTCAGTTACGTGTTATTGCTGTTGATTATGGTAGTTGTCATTAGAATTTAAGTTGTAAGGCAAGGGATTGATTCTAGGGGAAAATAGGGACCCATTCTTTTAACTCTATATTGTTCTACTTTAGAGCAATTTTACCCTAGAATGTCCACTTTAACAGCATAAAATTTCGAGAAATTGGCATATGAACATGAAAATTCTTTCCTCTTGTTTCTTACATCCCCAAGTAATGTTTATTAAATTATTTTCTTCATAAAAATTCGATTTTATTTTCGCGGTTCTATATCTATATTAGTCCTACTTAGAAGGGGTTAATTTCGCCCTGAATGGCAATTTTTATCATCGTCAATTCCAAATAATTGATAAGTAAACATAGAAATTTGTTCTTTTTTCATCCCCTTACCTTCTCGTGTAATAGACAGTCATTGAATTATTTTATTCGTAAAAATTCGATTCTATTTTCACGATTCTACATCCACAGCGATCAATTTCACCCTCAACCAATAATTTTTATCTTCGCGAATTTCAAAGAATTGATGGGTCTGTCAATACTTTTCTTTTTCTTCTCTTTCCACCCTTGTCATGTAACGAACACTTAGTAAATCATCTTATTCTTAAAACTTCGATTCTGTTTTCACGATTCTACATCCACAACGAACCTACCCTGGAGTGATTAATTTCACCCTCATCCAATAATTTTTATCTTCGCGAATTCCAAGGGATAGACGACTTTTCTTTTTCTTTTCTTTCCATCCTCGAATGTTTACTAAATCATCTTATTCTCAAAACTTCGATTCTATTTTTACGATTCTACATCCCCAACGAAACTACCCTCGAGTGATTAGTTTCACCCTCAAATAATAATTTTTATCATCGCGAATTCCATGGGTTCAACGAAATTACATCTCATTCTTAAGACTTCGATTCTATTTTCACTATTCTATATTTCCAACGAAACTACCCTCGAGTGATTAATTTCACCCTCAAACAATAATTTTTATCATCGCGAATTCCTAGGGTTCAATGAAATCATCTCGTTCCTAAGACTTCGAATTATTTTCACGATTCTACATCCCCAACGAAACTACCCTCGAGTAATTAGTTTCATCCTCAAACAATAATTTTTATCATTGCGAATTCCAAGGGTTCAATGAAATCATCTCATTCCTAAGACTTCGATTCTATTTTCACGATTCTGCATCCTCAACGAAACTACCCTCGAGTGATTAATTTCACCCTGAAACGATACTTTTTATCGTCGCGAATTCGAGGCAATTAATATATATACAAGGGTTAAATTCTTCCCTCTTCCTTATCTCTGTCTTCTTCGGCCTGCCGTGTAATGGATAGTCGCGACAAATTGTCGTGTTCGAACTTAATTCTACGTAATTGGAAATAAAGGGGAAAGTAAAAAGCTTGGTGTTTGTCGAATTTATCGCGCTGTCGGGGGCTTTGCCCCGATTCCGCGAATTAGCAGCGTTACAACCGACTGCCTCGTTTTTTTCCCC